ATAGCTTGAAGCAGAGCCCATGAGACAGCCCCTCTGGAGGGCAAGGAGCGAAGGGCTGGCCATGTGAACCCAGTGCCTTAGCACGAGGCAGTACTTGCTGATTTGCAGATTCCAGGAGGAAAGAGAACTTGGTTGAGTCTGTAAGTCTTGGTCAACCTACCCAGTGACTCCTAGATTACCTGAGTGTTATCCAATCAGATCTGCTGGTCAGAAAAAGAAGCTCCTACCCCAAATGTTCTTCCTAGCATCCTGCTCCTTCTTCAGGGATGCATTCAGATATCTGTGAGAGCTCCAGGAGAAGGTCCTGTGCAGCAATTTCTCACTGTCCAGAATCCAAGAGAAAACTCAAATCCCTCCCACGGCCACAGATCCATCCCTGACTCTGCTCACCACACTCCTGCCCCCCATTACTTTGCTGCTTACAAAGCTATCCCTTTAGCTCACCAGATCATCTTGCAAAAGTCACCCCTGAGAACTAGCTAGCCCCTCACACTCATCCTGTCTCATAGCCAGGTTTATTTCCTCAACATCTTACATTCTTTGTTTGGGACAAAGTCTCATTCATATAGCTGAGGATAGCCTTGAGTTCCTGATCTCTCTGGGATAACGTCATGCCAACATCCTACATTCTTTGGCTCACTTGTTTATTGATTTATTTACTGTTTTATTCTTCATTACTAGCTACAGAACCCTGGGCTTCAGGCACACTAAGTATGAGCTCTACCCCTGAGCTACAAAGTTGACCTACTAGGAGACACACCCAGTAAAGGCAGAAGAAACAAGTGGGGCTGGGCAACAGTTGAGTAGGAGAGAACCTGCCTTACGTATCTGAGGCCTGAAGTTTAGTCTCCAACAAAACTAAGTAAATTAGTAAATAAACCTTAAAACTAAACTTCGTAAGACCACGAATCTTGGCTACATCTGCAGCACCAGACTGACTAGTGTCTGGTGTCAGTTATTTTAACTTCTCTTTGCTTTGCTTTGCTTTCGAGACAGGGCCTCAGCTATGTGGTCCTCCCTGGATGGCCCCAGACTCAAACTCACAGAGATCCTCCTGACTCTCCCTTGCAAGTGCTGGGATTAAAGATGTACGCCACCATGCCCAGCTTCAACTAAACAATTATTTACCGTGCATCTGCTGACAAGGACAAACTCTGCTCTCAAAGAGCTTAAATTCTCACAGGAAGTAAGAGATAGATAGATAAAAAGAAAAATGAAATAATAGGGCTGATGAGATGCTTAGCAGGTAAAAGCACTTGCCTGGCAAGCCTGACCACCTGAGTTCAACCCCCAGAACCCACATAAAAGAGGAAGAAGAGAACCAACTCCCAAGTGTTACACACACACACACACACACACACACACACACACACACACACACACACTAATTAACTAATTTTCTTTTTCCATTTTTATGTATGTGGTGTGCATGTATATGCATGTATTGCATGTGTGGAGGGTTCCATGTGTGTACACATGCATGAGGTAGCCCAAAGTTAATGTCTGGGATTATCTTTGATTGCTGGTTCACTGGGGCAGGGTCTCTCAATGAAGGCCAGAGCCTTCTTATGGCTAATCTTGCAAGCTGGCTTACTCTGGGGGATCTCCTGTCTTGCAAGTCTGGAATTACCAGCAGGCCATCACACCCACCCAGCATTTGTGTGGGTTCTAGGGATCCGAACTCCAGTCCTTACTCTTGGGTGGCAAACAGGTTACCCACTGCACCATTTTCCCAGCCCTAATCTTTTAAAAAGTGAAATAACAGCTAGCAATTCCATGAAGCAAATACTAAGTGCAAGGTACCATCCCAAGCACTGAATAGGTGTTACTAATTTAACCCATTCAACACTCTACAAGGGAAGGGGCACTACCTTACAGACAGGCAAGCTCAGACACGGAGAGGTTAATGACGTCCTGAAGCTCACAGAGCCAATGATGGCAGAACCAGGATCCAAGCCCAGAGCCTCGGTATAAAGTCCGGGCTCTAATTAAGAGCTCCACTTCATGTGTGCGGAGTGTTAAATAACTACATGGTCAGCACCCTCGGCAGCTGTTCTCTGGGGGCAGGGCTGGACAGAGAACAGCCCCATCTAGGAAGAGCTGCCCTCTCCAGGGAGCCCAGTGGCAGCCTGCGGGGTTTCCACCAGATCTACGAGAAGCATGGTCCGATGAAAAAAGACATGGGCACAGGTGGGACTGCTGGCCGTCAACCTTTACACTTTGTGCAGGTCACTGACCTCAAACTGTGAAAGATGCAAGGTGAGTCCAGTGGGGATCCTGGCCTCAGACAGCTCGGAGACACACACATACATGGAGCTGAAACAGAGAACGTGACAGGCACCAGAGGAAAGGAACAGTCTGCCACGGGACTTCAAAGAAGCCCAGCTCCTTGGTCCCCACTGCCCACATATGGGACCTCCAAAGGCCTCTGTGACGGAGAGAATTAGAGCAGCATAGGGAGCAAGTTTAATTCTATTTAATAGCTCAAGTTCACGGCCACTCAGGTGCTCCCCTGCCTGTACTGAAACCATCCTTACTTCCTTTTCCTTTTCTTTTTTCCCCACCACCTTTTTTTTTTATTTTAAACTTTTGATTTTTTTTTTTTTAAATTTTAGAGTCTCTCTATGTAGCTCCTGGCTGTTCTGAACTCACTCTGTAGACCAGGCTGGCCTCAAACTCACAGAAATCTGCTTGCCTCTGCCTCCTGAGTGCTGGGATTGAAGGTGTGAGGTCACCGACCTCACACACTGAAACATGACTCCAGTGGAGACCCTGGCCTCAGACAGCTCAGAGACAAGTTCCTTAGTTTTGGGGGTCCTGGGCACCAAACCCAGAGCCTCACACATTTTCTATAACTGAGCTCATTCTTCGCCCCTTCGGTTTCCTTGTGCAGCATCTCACAATAGAGGCAGGGCACTAACGCTTCCCTTTAAGTGATGCAGCCAGACATGGAAGGAAGCCCAATGTGATCTCTCTCCTCACCTCTAACTGATTTAGAAACCCACAAGCTCTCTCTCATCAGAGGGGGTAACCTATCCTACGAGTACACTGTTGTAATATGGAGACAGACTGCCAAGTCAAAGGACTCACATCTCATCTGTGTCTGAGTCTAACCCAGTGCCTGACTCACAGCAGGTCCTGAAGAAGATCTGCTGAGCTCAGCCTGAGCAAAGTCAGGAGACGACTCGACTCTGCAGGAGTTGCTGTTCCTGAGTTTGCTCCCCAGCTCTGTGCATCGCATCCTGCATCGCATCGAGAAGGTAGGGAGGGGGTGACAACAAATCGGCTCTAGTTCCTTCCTTCAGCCACCAGCACTTGCTGGGCAATTTCAACCGTCAACTGGCATCTTTTCCTCCACCTCCACTCCCCACAATTCTGTCTCTTTATGGCTGCCAGAACAACCTTTTAAAACTTAGATCCTATCTTAATACCTTTCTGTTTAATAGACTCTAATAGCATCTAACTCTTTGGATAATGTACCTACAAAATATTCTTTTAACCTACACATTCTTCCTTCCTTTGTCTCCCGACACCCTCTCTTTCTTTGAGAGGGTCTCATGAAGCCCATACTGACCGTGAGCTCATCATCTCGCTGCCACCTCCCAAATGCTGTCCCACCACACCCAGGTTATAACGTCTTAGTGTTTTGGCCCCTTCACAGCACTTAATACTACTGAAATGATTTTTATCTGTGTATTTATTTACTCATTTATTATCTGTCCTCTTTCCTTCTTGGAATGTCATTTTCCAGAAGACAAGGATTGTGTAAGCCCCATGAATGAATCTCCATCTCACAGAAGTGATTTCTGTTCACATGGACCACACTGACTCTACCAGGAAGCCATGAATGACACACTGGCACTTAACAGTTGGCACCTTTATTTGTGATTCAAAGTCCTGCTTTGAATCCAAGGAAGTGCTGGCATCTCTGGACACTTTAATGGCAGAAGAGATCAGTTATCAGAGTTTCGAGCCAGGAACAAGAGCCCAGTGGTTGTAGCAGGGAGCCAGAAGCCAAAGCACTTGAGAAGTAAACCTTAAGAAAAACTGACTTGCCTCCAGATCCCGTATCAATACACTCTGTGCCTCAATTTACCCAGCAGTTATCTAGGCACACTTCCTCAAGATCTGTGACAGGAGACAAAATAATTAAGAGCTAGGGCACAGTCAGATCCTCAGATAGGAAGTGCTGCAAGCCACAAGTCTCATTCATTACTCACAGAACTCTTGATTTGTACCCAACACGATACCCTGGGCCTTCCCATAAACGAACCCGGCAGAGATACTGCTCAGACAAGTTCCATGCACAGGAGCAAGCAAGGACGACTGCAGGGCCTCAAGAGGCAGGGTGTCCAGAGCTCCAGGCTCAAGAAAAAGGGAAGTGCAACGTTGATTGGGGTAGAAAAAGGAGGGGATGAGTGCAGTTCGGGGGGTTCAAGTGGTGAATCTGCAGGTTCATGTTCACAAGTACCCTGCGAAGGTGAGACATGTGTCTCTCCTATATACCTTTAGGAAACACCAGTGAGAGGTGCAACTGGGGGAGCGGGCAGTGCATCCAAACTAGAGGGAGGAAGGGCGGCTGGGCAGCCAGACAGACCTTGGCAGCATCTAGTAGGGGAAACAAGGAGAGTCAGGATGCTGGGAGAGGGGTGTTGGTGAGGTAAAGAAGAGACAGGGCAATGGGACCAGGAGGGTGGACAGGCGATGTCAAGCACACGGGCCCAGAGGGTGAGCAACTGGGACACCTGTGGAGGAGAACCCCAAGGGAAAGGGAAGAAGGTAGCAGGGTGGTCTGCGGCGGGAGGTAGCAGCGCCGGGCGTGGTGAGGACGGCGGGTCCAGGCCCAGGGCGTCGCGCTAGCGGGGCCGGCCCGGTGGGGTCCTGACTGGGTCGAAGGTGCCTTCCGCGGCCCCTCCCCGGGAGACAAAGGGCCGGCGGCTCCCCCGTGCCCCGGCGCCGCGCCGACCCCGTGCTGCGGCGCGGCTCGGCCTCGCGCTTACCTGGGCCGCCCGAGCGCGCGGCGCCGGGGGCTGCGGGTCCGGAGCGCGGCGGCCTGTTCCGGGACGCGCTCAGCCGGAGCAGCAGCCGCAGCGGCGGCAGCGGCGGCGGCGGCGGCAGCAGCAGCAGCAGCAGCAGCAGGAGCGGCCGCTTCAGCCTCCGCCTCTCCGTGAGTCACCGCGGCGGGGAGGGAGGGAGGCGCCAGGCCGCCGGAGGAGGGACCGGCGGAGGGGGCGGCATCTGGCTCCGCGCGCGCGGCGGAGGCGCGGCGTCGACCACGCCCCGGAGGGAGGCACCCTAGAGAGGGCGGGGCCTGAGGGGGTGGATCCCGGGGGCGGGAGGGGGCCCGGCATTGGTCAAGGCCGTCTGTGGGGCGGGACGGCTTGCTGGAGGGCGGAGTCCTGAGCCTCACTACGAGGAAGACAGTTCATTGGGCATCTCCGGCGGAGGGCGGCTCGGAGGCGGGGCCTCGCAGTGGGCGGGTAGTGGCTGAGTCTGTAAGCAGAGCCCAGGGGAGGGGCAGGCGCTGTGGGAGAGAGGGGTCATATAGGGCTAGTTGACCTAGAACCCCGCGAAGAATCTGAAATAGAAGAGCTTGCAGACTATTTAGGGGCGTGGCACCTTAGGTCTACTCTTGAATTTGTGGCCTAGCCTGGCATCTGTGAAGCCCGGAGTGCCTAGGGTCTCTGTGATAAAAAAATGTTTCTATATGTATCTGCGGAGGGTAGAAGGGGGTAATAGCACATTTTAAACAAAATGCGAATTGCTTTTGGTATCCGACATCCTTTTAAAGGGACAAGAATGTTTAAGTATGGTCTCATTTTCAGTATTTTTTTTAAGATTTATGTGTGTACCTGCATGTATGTATGTGTACCACATGTATGTCTGATGCCTTGGCATTGGATCCCCTGAAACTGGAGTTACAGACGGTTGTGAGCAGCCATGTGGGACTGGAAACTGAACTCTGGTCCTCTAAAAAGGAAGCAGCAAGTGCTCTTAACAGCTAGGGAGTCCATCTCTCCAGTCCCTGGTTTCAAATGCTTTAACTTACTGGTTACAGCAGTCAGTACAGAGACCATCCTTAAACACTTCTCCACCGTTCAGTGTCTTCTGTACATCCCCCCTCCCCTCAGGAAGGGGAATAAACCAGGGGGCTGGAGAGATGGCTCAGTGGTTAAGAGTACATAGTGCTCTTGCAGAGGACCCAAGTTTGATTCCTCGTATCCATGTGAAATGGCTCATAAAGCACCTTAACTCCAGCTTCAGGGGATCCAATGCCCTCTTCTGCCCTCCGTGAGCGCTGCATTCACATGTACAAAACCACACTCTGATAGACACATATACATATAAAAAATAAAAATTAGGTGTGGAAAAGATGGCTTAGTGGTTAAGAGCACTAGCTACTCTTGCAGAGGACCTGGGTTTGGTTCCAAGCATCCCTATCAGGTAGCCCATAAGTGACTGAAATTCCAGTTCTAGAGGATTTAATACACTTTTCTAGTGCACATGGGCACATACACATGATACACATAAAACAGGCAAACACATATAAATTATTGATTAAATTTTGGCAGCTCATATACTAAAATTGAAATGATACAGAAATTAACATGGCCCCGGTACAAAAAAGACACACAAATTTGTGAAGCATTCCATACTTAAAAATAAAGTTTAATCCCAGCACTTGGGAGGCAGAGCCAGGTGGATCTCTGTGAGTTTGAGGCCAGCCTGGTCTACAGAGCAAGATCCAGGACAGGCACCAAAGCTACACAGAGAAACCTTGTCTCGAAAAACGAAAAGGAAAAAAAAGAAAAGAAAAAAGTTTAAGAGGACAAACATTAAAACCTTAAAAATGGGGCTAGAGAGATAGCAATTAAGAGCATTGACAGCTCTTCCAGAGGTCCTGAGTTCAATTCCCAGCAACCACATGGTTCATAACCATCTATAATGGGATCTGATGCCCTCTTCTGGCATGCAGGTGTACATGCAGATAGAACACCATATACATAAAATAAATAAATTTTTTTTTTTTTTTTTTTTTTTTTTTTTGGTTTTTCGAGACAGGGTTTCTCTGTGTAGCTTTGCGCCTTTCCTGGAACTCACTTGGTAGCCCAGGCTGGCCTCGAACTCACAGAGATCTGCCTGGCTCTGCCTCCCGAGTGCTGGGATTAAAGGCGTGCGCCACCACCGCCCGGCAAAATAAATAAATCTTAAAAAAAAAAGAAAGAAACCTTAAAAATGCAATAAACATTTGTGTATTGCTGCTGTGTGGCACTGTTCCTGGAGAGACCTGGACAAACACCTGCTCCTCTCAGACAAGGAGCCAACTACAGACCAAACATCGACCCAAATTCAACTTAGTAAACCAAATGAATCTTATTGGGATTCCTTACAGGAGCATGGGTGAAGTTACAAGAACAGGAATGACTCAAGGGCAGCTGTCCTGAGTATCAGCTCACAAAAGCTGGAAACTGGAATGCACTGCACAATCTGTAGACAGTTCCACAGGTAGGACAATGTTCTTTCCCTGCAGCTTAGCTGGTCCATGCCTCCTCTAGGTAGCTCAGCAGGCCTTACTGCCTATATACGCTTGGGAAGGGAGGGGCCTAGTGAATCTGGTCAATTTCAGGAACTTCCTAAAGCCACCGAATTGTTTACCTCCTGAGCTTAATGAGTTTAGCTGTAGGAAAGAATGTTTCACCTTCCCTTAAAATATACAGTTACTTCAACTCCATTTTGATATCCTGTGTCTTTTTTGTTTTTGTTTTGTTTGGTTGGTTTTGGTTTTTTCAAGGCAAGGTTTCTCTGTGTAGCCCTGGCTATCCCTGGCTATATGGACCACTCTGCAGAACAGGCTGGCCTTGAATTCACAGATCTACCTGCCTCTGCCTCCTGAGTGCTAAGATTAAAGTGATGTGCCACCACTGCCCCAACTTAACATCCTGTACCTTACGGAGCTTCCTTCAAAGACAGGTTATAATCTTGGAGGAAACTGCTACACAACAGTTATATGTGTACATATTGTTTGTGTGTGCACATGTGTGTGGAGGTCAAAAGTCAAAGTCTGGTATCTCCCACTATTCTTTTTCCACCTTATTCTATTATTATTATTAATTATTATTACTATTATTATTATCATCATCAGTTCCTCTCATAGAACCTGGAGCTGAGGAAGACTTGAGTTTTCTTTTTTGGATTTTTTAAATGATTTATTTATTTTTATTTCATGTGCATTGATGTTTTACCTACTTGTATGTCTGTATGAGGGTGTTGGATTCCCTGGAACTGAAGCTACAGGCAGTTGTAAGCTACCATGTGGGTGCTGGGAATTGAACTCAGGTCCTCTGGAAGAGCAGTCTGTGCTCTTGACCCCTGAGCCATGGCTCCAGCCTCCTGGTGAGGGTTCTGACCCAGCACCTCCCGACACTTTGCTATCCAGGACGGAGGAAGCTGCTATCTCAGTGTCAGCTGATTTGCCTGTGTGCTGCAGCCCAAGTGAGCAGTGTCTTCAGCAATGTAGCGTGGGGCGGGGGTGATCAAGAGCAGTACAATGCAATGGCACCTCCACTGTTCTGCAGCCTCTGCGGCTCCCTGGCCAACAGCTCACAGGGAGAGAGCCCATACCTGACACTGGGGGGTTTGCTTAAGATCTACGGCTTCTGGGAGTAGCACTACCCATCCATAAAGAGTACTTCCACTCAAACCTGTTAAAACAATTTTAATTAATTAAGTCTAGACTGACTAGACCGGCAAGCCCCAGGGCTCTGCCTACTCAGCACTTTGATTACCAGCTTTTACGTGGGTGCTGGGGATTCAACGACCAACCTCCCGACTCTTAGAGTAAATATTTTAAAAACACCATGCTTACATTCTGAAATGCTCAGATTCCTCTCTGCTTTTGATTCCACAGACTGTACTGTAATCATGACTGACGGACATGGTAGTTATGAGATTATGAATCCAGGATATGGCCAAAATATTCTTATTTATGACTATAAGGCCAGAAATATGCCTTATTCATGACTATATCTCAAAAAAATTCAGAAGGCTACTGTACCAGGAGCAAAAGTTCAACAAATATTTGCCAATACAGCTTACCAATGGGTCCTCCTGGCTTCCCAGTGAACACATCGATGCAATAACACAAATTCACATTGTTTTTTATGTCAATATTGATGTTTAAACAAATCAATAAAAACTTCATGTTGCTTGGTATTCAAGCTATAAGAGTATGTATTATGTTTTTTTAAAGATATCTTTAAGGACTAGGTGGGAAAGGAACACAGAAGATTAAAATGCATTAGTTAGTGTGAAATAATGGATACTTTTTATTTTTCCCAAATTTTTCATATGTATTTTTTAAAGATTTATTTGTTCTGTTTTATGTGTATAAGTGTTTGTCTAAATGTATGTCTGATTACCATGTGCATGCAGTGCCCTCAGAGTAAAAAGAGAGCACTGGATCCCCTGGAACTGCCTGTCATGTATGAGCTGGGAACCTAACCCTGATCCTCTGCAAGAGCAGCCAGTGCTCTTAACAACTGAGCAATCTCTCCAGCCCCCCTGTATCATTTCTATAGTTTAAAATTACAGTAAATTCATCAACACAATCAGTCTCTCAACTACCCCATGAACTCAGAGTTGGGCAATCTGCATTTCTAGGCAGCGGGGTTACTTTAGATTAGCTCTGGCTCCATCCTATGCCTAGGGAGTAAGGATCATTTGTCAGTTCTGACAGTCCCACACCATCTCCCCTCCTTGGGGAAGTGAGCCTCATCCCTCTGGCATATTCATGAGTATTTTATCTCTTCCCCTAAAGTAGGGGAGACACGTGACACAACATGGACCAATTTGAATCTTTCCTTTAAACTCTCGGAATTAGTAATGAATGGAAGACAAGATGGCTCAGTGGGTAAAGGCCCTTGTGCATAACCCGGATACCCTGAGTCCGACACCCTCCCCTGTCCCAGAGCTCACATAAAGGAGGAAGGAGAGAACAGACTCCACAACCTTGTCTTCTGACTTGTGCATTCCTGCTGCAGGGCATGCATGCTCCCCTCTCCTATGCACAAAGACACACACACACACACACACACACACACACACACACAAATA